GACTACTAATTTCCCTATCAGTAGCCACATTCCATTTAAACGTTTAGTTCTCCGTTCATTGAAAAAAGGCGGGTATTTTTAAGTGAATTNACCTTCTTTACCCAGGTAGGTAGTATGCGTGGGCACCTAACTTCAGCCCACATCTCTCCTTCGTAACAAACTTTTACTGACTACTAATTTCCCTATCAGTAGCCACATTCCATTTAAAACGTTTAGTTCTCCGTTCATTGAAAAAAGGCGGGTATTTTTAAGTGAATCGATTAAAGATCTATTTTATTTCATTTTATTTTCTTGGTTTACAATAAGATTTTTGGTTAGTTATTTTCTTTGTTTGTTAATATACATAATGTACATATCTGAACGTTGCTTACACATTTGAGCCAATAATAAATTAATGAAATTGAAAATAATTTTCTAGAGAAGAATACATTTCGCTCTTTTGTTACTTACATACATACNATTTTTGGTTAGTTATTTTCTTTGTTTGTTAATATACATAATGTACATATTTGAACGTTGCTTACACATTTGAGCCAATAATAAATTAATGAAATTGAAAATAATTTTCTAGAGAAGAATACATTTCGCTATTTTGTTACTTACATACATATTAAGTACATAATAGATACATAAGTGTATTAAAAAACAATATTTTGATTAAATTAAACAAATACAATAATATATATTAACTATTAAATTCGATTTAGACTGAGAAGCAATGTGCTAAAAATGACTTTCATTGAACTCTGAACAATGAGTTTAGATATTCAGTTTGATGTAGCACATTTGTGTAGTAAATTTGGCATTTTCACACCAAAAAATGTAACAGTCCTAGAAAAAAAATACTAATCGATTCAGAAAAACGTCCGGAATAACATATCCAAAAAGCCCCATCGAGCGGCGTGACCTTGGTAATATTAAAATTATTTAATGGAAAACTTGCAAATTTTGTACAACTCAACACCAAAAACTCCCACTGCGTCAAATCAAATGCAACAATCAAAAATATGAAGATAGTTCATTGAAGAGGAAGAAAGCGATTAGTCGCTGCATAGGTCTTTCCACTGCAGTTACATATGTATGTATGTAAAGAGTTCCGTCGTCTACAACGTAGTATTTTTGATCTTCTTGATTAATACATTGATTTGCCGCAGTCAAAGTTCTTGGCGTTGAGCTGGACAACATTTGGTAGTATTGCATTAATTTAAATAATACACCGGTCATTTTCGATGGTCCTGTTTGGATATCTTATTCAGGAAATCTTTCGTAATCGANGCAATATTGACACCAAAGATTTTGCGCTAATTTTATTTTTTTACTAGTTATTTGCAAACAAATTTTTATGCAGCTTTTACACTTTTTGAAATATTTCAGCAACCATTCATTAGAATCTTATTATTTTTTGACAGCAATTAGAGAACTTATTGGGCACCAAAATCAGTTCAGTTTTTAAAATTTCGATTCTTGTTGTATAAAAAATTGTATTTTTTAAACAATTTAATTTCTTTTACCTACTTCTCATATACCTAGGAAAAGAATTAAAAAGCATTATTTGCGCTAAACATCCAACTTTACTTTCACAAACCCTGTACCTTTGATTGACTTAAAGCTTTTTACCAAAAAAAAAATGAACCAAGTTTAAAAAAAAGCGTGAGTACTAGGTACTCATGAAATTTGATGTGTAAACATATGCGTACGGCAAAGAATAAAAGTACATTTACATATAAATATAATCTCAATCAAAGCTCGTTAGGTGTCAAATTAGGTGTGTTGTTATTCTCACAATTTGAGGAAAAGTTAAGCTTCTTCCCTGTGCCACCATGGTCACTTTTTTTGCTACACATATTATGCTATTAAAATATATTTTAACCTAATATTTTATTAAAAATACCTTTACAAACCTCTTTTCCTTGCTAGCGTAAATTTTTGTTTACTTTTACATTTGACATTCCTCCTCTTCTTCGCAAATATAATCGATAAAACTAGGTTGGACACCAAAAAGTTATCGGTTTAATCTGAGATTATTTTATAATTATAATTAAACATTAATTTCACTTAATTTTATTCATTTTGCTGATTTAAACCTTTTTTTATTCATTTTCACATTTAAGTCTTTTAATACCTGAAAAAACATGATACTTGTATATACTTGTGACTCAAGGGCGTTAAAATATCTTGAAAACACCGCAGTAATTGTTGTTTTTGAGCTTGTAGTTTGAGCATTTCTCTTTGTATATATTCCTAACTTTAGTTTTTCTTTTAGGTATATAATCCGTGGTTCTGCTTCATTTGTCACTAGGTTTACGTAAAAGTCATGAATACATATAACATACTATCTTTTGTTTGCAAAATGGGAAGCTAATTTCATTTTCTTGGCATTTCCTCTTACTCTCGTCTTCTCTTTGTGAAATCTTGTATTAGCTCTGCTCCAGTACTCAATGAACTTACAGGTTTTTACACGAACTTGCAGGAAGTTACAGGAAAAATGATCCCGTACTCCAAAATGATGTAACTGAGTACGATTTTTGGAAAGTTGTGTAGAGAAGGAAGTTGCAAGATTTTACCCGATGCTTTTTTGGTTCCCGTACTTTTTGCTGTTAGTCGCTTTTTATCCTCACTTCAGAGAGATATTTTGCTGCTTGACATTTTACACGCAAAGTATTAGGTCAGAGCTATTATATCATCCATGCATATGTATATATACATATGTTCATGTATGTTTATCAGTTATCAACGATCCCAGTTGAAATGACTTTTTTGGTGATGCATTCCTAAAGTTCTTTTTTGCAGTTCGCAAACATTTTTTATGTATTTATGCATTTATGATGCATTTCCGAACGTTTTTTTGCAGTTTGCTTTTAATAAGGTTTTAAACAAATTAACAAATTAATGTATCGAATTAACAATAACAATCGCGCCGTCAAGTTTAAATAGCGGAAATCAGGCCTTCGAAACTTTCTGCTGGGCTATGCGTTACAGCTTCGCAAATTTTACCCCTACCGAAATCAAAGACTTATACACATCAAATATATCATACAAATGTACTTAAAAGCAAAAAACAAAATCTAAAAACTTAAGAATCAAATCAAGAATTATCAAATTATTATTATAACAGTATTTTTTTTTTTTATCAAAGTAAAATTGGATGTTTAGCGTAAATAATGCTTTTTGAATTCGTTTCCTAGGTATATGAGAAGATGGTAAAAAAATTCAATTGATTAAAAAATAAAATTTGTTATAAAACAAAAATTGAAATTTTACAAACTGACCACTTTATTTTATTGCGCAATAATTTCTCTAACTGCTGTCAAAAAATCATAAGATTCGAATGAATGATTGCTGAAATATTTCAAAAAGTGTAAAAGCCTGCATAAAAATTTGTTTGCAAATAAATGGTAAAAAACATAAAATTAGCGCAAAATCTTTGGTGTCAATATTGCACACCATGTTAACTTTCAAAAATCGGCCCATGAAATATAAAAAAAAACGAAAAGTCAACTTTGGGTGGCCCACTTGAAAAACTTGACTCAATATAAAGATGTCTTTATTTTTCTATTTTTTGTCCTTTTTTAATGCTTTCTTTTGCCTTTTTTGCGATTTCTAGTGCCTTTTCCATCCTATTTTGCCTTTTCCAGCCTATTTTGTTATTTTAATTTGCCTTTTTTTTATAGGTTTTAGGGTCCTAAAAATCCGTTTCCTGCTTATGAGTAAAACTTGCAAATTGTCATTTAGGCTGTGTGCGAGTTGACCAAAATTTTAGTACCTAAACTAATATTCCACTGGAAATTTCCAGCACTGCTACAATTTAGGAAAACAACTGCTAAAACTGTGCGAGTTCGTTTGACAACCTAAATTATTGGCGTATAAGTGATAAATAGGGCCCATTCAGTTAGAAAAAATAAAAGCTTTCCAACCCTTTCCATGTTTTGAAAATTGGTTCAATAAATATCGAAAAATTAGTTTTTTGAAAATGTTTGAAATTCCACTTTTACCACCCCTTGCACCGCCCCTTTTAATTTGCAGTAAAACATAATTCATACCATCAAAATCAAGAATAAGGAGCGAGCCATGCCTACTTTTTCTTTTTGTCTAGCTCATCGGCCCCTATTTCTTATTTTTACCGAAATCAAAGATATTTATACTGACACTTTTCTGAATTTTTCTTTTTTGTACCATAGAAAAGATAAAAATTACTTAAAACTTCTAAAAAAATAATTGTTAGATTAATCGCGCGCCCTTTTATATTTCACAGTTCAATTTAGGTTGAAAAGTATGCTCGGAAAAAAATCTAAATTTTTCCTATTCACCATNATCGGCCCATGAAATATAAAAAAAAACGAAAAGTCAACTTTGGGTGGCCCACTTGAAAAACTTGACTCAATATAAAGATGTCTTTATTTTTCTATTTTTTGTCCTTTTTTAATGCTTTCTTTTGCCTTTTTTGCGATTTCTAGTGCCTTTTCCATCCTATTTTGCCTTTTCCAGCCTATTTTGTTATTTTAATTTGCCTTTTTTTTATAGGTTTTAGGGTCCTAAAAATCCGTTTCCTGCTTATGAGTAAAACTTGCAAATTGTCATTTAGGCTGTGTGCGAGTTGACCAAAATTTTAGTACCTAAACTAATATTCCACTGGAAATTTCCAGCACTGCTACAATTTAGGAAAACAACTGCTAAAACTGTGCGAGTTCGTTTGACAACCTAAATTATTGGCGTATAAGTGATAAATAGGGCCCATTCAGTTAGAAAAAATAAAAGCTTTCCAACCCTTTCCATGTTTTGAAAATTGGTTCAATAAATTTCGAAAAATTAGTTTTTTGAAAATGTTTGAAATTCCACTTTTACCACCCCTTGCACCGCCCCTTTTAATTTGCAGTAAAACATAATTCATACCATCAAAATCAAGAATAAGGAGCGAGCCATGCCTACTTTTTCTTTTTGTCTAGCTCATCGGCCCCTATTTCTTATTTTTACCGAAATCAAAGATATTTATACTGACACTTTTCTGAATTTTTCTTTTTTGTACCATAGAAAAGATAAAAATTACTTAAAACTTCTAAAAAAATAATTGTTAGATTAATCGCGCGCCCTTTTATATTTCACAGTTCAATTTAGGTTGAAAAGTATGCTCGGAAAAAAATCTAAATTTTTCCTATTCACCATATTACCGACACTTTCCAGTGATTTAGGATTTTTCTCTATTTAGGTAGCAATTTAGACGTACTCGCACACAGCCTTAGTACATTTTGTAATAATAAACACGATATTTACATGAATTCCCTTCAATCATTGATTTTATGTCTTACTCCGGCTTCACATGCTGAATGTTTGCTTGGTTTCATGAAGATTATCGGTCGATTTAACAGAGATGAACGCATGCATTTTGTCGGGCAGGTTTTGGTTTAAAACATCATTTTCGTCTGATTTATCGCCTGAACGTGATTCTCTGTAAAACAGAAAAAACTTTATTCTCATCTTTTTAAGTTTTCTTTATAAATTAAATATGCAGAAGTTAAATCCGAATAGGACACGACCTTCACCCATCTGTTTAATGGATGAAATCTATTTTGTATCAAATTTAAAGTGCTAGTAAATATTTCACGAGTGGGTTAACTGAAAAAATCCTAGCCAGGTTACTTTAAATTAAGTATTCAAAAGCTGTTTTTTTTTTTTAATTTTGCACTCATTTGTTCAATGAACAAGTTTCATATATAGTATATTTTGCTTTGCTGCCTTTATGCCTAAGTGCACATTTAAAATACCTCCCCCAAAATGCGAATCAGCGGCATTATTTTTAACATTTATAAGGAAACTGCTCCGATACATGCATACTAAATACCTGCACATTAGCGATACCTACCTTAAAAATTTGCAACTATTATCAATTATCAAAGAAAGTATTACGTTTACCTGTACTGCCTCTACACTTACCCTAGATTTACAAGCTTCTATTTATTTTGCTCATATCGCGGAACAACGAAAACGGCTATAATTTTTTGAAGTTATATAGACAATTAGATACCATTCAGAGAAAATTTCGCTTGCAGTAGTTTCTACGTGGTAAGTGCTCCTCCATTATTTGATTTCATAGCGATTCGGATACCTTCCATATTGGAGTAGTAAAGAAAATTCGCTTAAATGCTTTTTCGGTTAAGCGCACAAGTTTTTCGTGCAAATATGGATGGGCAGCTAAGCAAAATATACTGTATACCAATCGAAAGCATAAAGCCTATAGATTGTGTTAAACAGATGAGTGAAAATTACTAGTATTGGTTGCGTTCCCCAATTTTCTGGGCTAAAACCTGCAAAACTGTCACAAAGCAAATGAAGCCAGACAACCGAGTACGGGAACGCCATCTGGTAAATTCCTGTAAATTCTTGCAACTTCTTGCGACTTAGGGAACGCAACTATTACTTACCTGTTCATAGCTGTCAAACAGATAGATAGGCCTGGAAAAAAATAAACAACCCAACGTTTTCACATTTTATGGGCTTAATACTCTCGATTGATATATAATTAAAAAAATATAATAATTTTTGAATACTTCATTAAAAATATCATAGCCAGGATTTTTTCAGCCAACCCACTCCTGAAATATTTACTAACACGTTATAATACATTTCCGCTGCATTGAAATCTGAGACTTCGCGAAATCTTTCGAAATCCAGTAGGATTTCCCATATTTCATATTTTCATGATTTCGGTTTCTTAGATTTCAATCAGATTTCAACGAAATCCTCACTTTTGTAAAACGAACAAGCTTTTAGATACTAAAAAGTTCAACCCTGTAGACTGCTTCACTGAAATGACAAAATTGTATTCATAAACAAAAGCACACAAACTAGAGTCCAAGGTACATTAAAAACATGATACAAAAAAGAAAGTAGTTTCGCTTTGAAATTTTTTGACATAAGCACAGTATGACGTTTATACTTTTCGTAAATTGCTCGAGTATCACTGCCACCTCAACAAATTATTGTTTTGGAATTTTTATTATTTTTTAAAGGAATTTTTTATGCATTAAAAAATAACAACACGCAAGGTAAGTTTACTTAATTCATCATTAGCATAGCTGTTAATAAGTGAGAATTAATTTAAAATACCTTAAATAACCTTACCGCAAAAAATTTGGCATTATATGCAGTGTTCCATAAGATATTATTATGATATTAGGATGTTGCTTTAATTTGGAGCTTTTTTAGAGGACATATGAACAAAGGAATAGTTAAAAAGTAGCTTATCGTCAATGAAAGCACTATTGAAGCATAAACTTAGAGGGAGGTAAAAAAATTTACAAATTCTTAGAGCTCTTAGTTATAGTTTATAGACAGATAAACTACTCGCTCTACTGCTGCTGGTGCAGCGTTTCACTTAGATTGGGCACATCCATCCAGAGGCTGAAAATTTTCCGCCGAAAAGCCTTGGTGGCAGGGATGATAAATGAGTTTTTAATTTTTGTACCAATGGACAAAAAGATTGTACTAAATCATCCGAAAAAGTACCAAAATTTAAAAGACCGGACAGACATATGTATATGGGTAATTTCCAAACAAAGTGTTCATGGCAGGTATTTTATATATTTTTTTAAGATTGATAATCTTATCCTCTAAAATCGTTTACTGACGCGAATACGAAACTGCTTTCAGGCTCTTCAAAAATTAATTTTTGTTCTTATTTTTGCATTTTTGTAAAATATTTTCCAGAATGTAACATTTGCATATAACTTTTAAACTCATTTATCACATAAGCCAATGTTGGAGGTTTTTTCCGCCTCCTTCAAGACATTAACGTGACGTTTTTCTTGGGAGGCAGGTTTTTTGTTTAATCTTTCTTCAGCAACAATTTCCCATATATGCCATTTGAACACTTTTGGAGAAACAAGCAAATTAAATAAAAAATCCTTTTGCACCTAAAAGTGACCTTCTGGAAATATTTCACTTTTTTTCTAAAAGTCTAATTTCACGAAAATATAAAATCAAGGAAATCATTGAAACCCCTGAAGCAATAAATAGGCATTGGTTACTATCTTATTTTTAGTGTTTTTTGTATAAAAAAAACTGGGTGACTTTCCGGAAATATTAAGCCTTACTCGTTAATATTAAATACCTTTTTATTGGTTGGGCCAGTGTGTACTGCACCAAAAATCTGGAAAAATTTCGTCCGTGGACTTGGATGCGTAACGTTATATGTACTTGTATATATGCATAGTTTAAAAAGGCCATGAAAGCCGTAAGTTTCCATTACAATCAATAATTCAAGTTAATCAACAAAACCATATAAGTATGTTCATTAAGTGCGAGTAACACAAAGAAACAGTTGCTTATATTATAGCAACAACTTTTTGATGATTTTAAAAAGTCTTTCGTTTTTAATAAACACCACGCATTTACCTGTATAAAGTAGGAAAAAGATGACTGCATTTTTATCCACAAGTCGAATTTCTACATAATTTGTCGTAATGCTGTATTTTGAAAAGATTTTATCAAAAATGTCGATGTAGTACCAATGTACTTTTGGGATCCAAAATGTATCAAAAAAGTACAATTGTACCATCAATTCCATCACTGCTTGGTGGAGTTACCATGCACGTGGCCATCCCGAAATATGCAGCTAATCGTACTAAATAATGATGAGAATAATTGCATAAACAAATAGATTATCCATGTGCATTACGCAATGTAATAGGAGTATTTTACTAGCCTTCCGTTTTATAATTAATTTTAGAAATAAAATGATGCTCAAAATATATTCCTTGAAATAATTTTGGAATAACTTTTTTTGAAGTAAAAAAACACTTTTTAGTTTCTTCAAAGAATATGGTAGCTTCAGTTTAAAAGAAAACGTCAAATGGGAGCAATGGCGGATAAGAAGAAGAAGTGAAACTACCTTTAAATATTTTTATCATGATTAAAAACAGGTAGATGCCAATTTGATATCAAACTTTCAAAAGTCAAAGTTTTCGGGGGAGTAAAAATAAGAATGAGCGTGTGCAAGGAAAAATAAAAAATTACATTTCACTGGCTGACGTTTTTAAGTAAATTTGAAGTTTATTTTGATTTAATAATTTTGTTTAATGTAAATTGGTTTATCGTTTATTAAGCTATCACAACTGGGTTGATGAGTTCCAATTCCCAATTTTTGGCCGATGCCGATGCCGATTTATCGTCCGGAGGGCAAATAATAGTTCATTCGAAATTACATTTCCTAGTTGTACTCATAGTAGTAAAAATATGCAGCTTCTGCTGACTATAAATGTGTTGTATTGAATACAATTTGTTAATAAACACTAACCGTAAATTTTAAAATAATAATGAAAGTATTGTTGTAACTTAAACATTTTAACAATCCAGTGAAAAGAACCCGAAGTTTGTTTGTTATCCAACAAAAACCATGTAAGTAAAAATGTCAAACTTTGTACAAAAATTAGAAAAATTGGACAGCTTTTCAATTAGGTTTTCTAGAAACATTCCGAGTATGCAGTTTTTAGCCCGTTCAAGCCCGAAGTGCAAATTTTAAATAGCTAGGACTTACCGTTGATTTTTGGCAAGTAAGTAGAATATCATAGTTTCCCGTGAATTTGATCAATTTAACTTAATATTATTAATTGCATGTGACGAGTATTTACGCCCCGGCGTCTTTGGGTTGTTAAGGCGCTCGCACGTAAAGAAAAATAAGTGAAAAAAACAACAGCGTATTAGTGTGTAATTCTTAACAATAATAACAAATATTTGCTTTATTTGTGGAGGAAAATGTTTAATAAAACAGTGTGAATTGAAATAGATATTTTGCTGATAGCTTGATGAGATTACCTTTCTGACGTGGTATGGTGGCTGGCAGTCGCTATGCTGGTCTTCAAGGAAGTGAAGGAGTGCCAACAAACGAAAAAGGGTTTGAGCCCGCCGAACAGTAACCTTCGTTGAGTTTCCCCTCAACTTAGTTACCGTACGGCGGGGCATATTGTTAACGGCTGGAATGTTAGCCTATCTTATATATGTGTGTGTGCACTCAGATACAAAATTATTTAACGCGCATTAGGGTGGTGCAGCATACGCAAACTATAAAAATGGAATACGGAAGGTACCCACCATGCCACGTCAGAAAAGATAATAAGTTTGACGGTAATCACTAGAGACTGGAAGTGCTCCAGGTTGCACTTAGTTCTCGCTCGTCACACCCAGGTTGCACCGCCTCTTCCTAGATAGCTATTGGGAAATTAAAGAGAGAGTTAAAAGAACAAAATGGACGTGGTTTTGATTTTCAATGCACTTTATTGCGTGTATTAATCAACTAAGCCCTCTAATTTGTTTTTATTTTTGGTAAGCTCCGGAAACCACTAACCCAAATATGGTTGCCTGCCTCAATAAGCCACAGACCGAAGATGGCGGGGTCCCTGTTAGCATGACCTGGGCATATACATCGACGCCTAGAGTCAGACGGATCGGGGTAGCCCGGTAAAAATTTGGATCGGCCAACCGCATAAACTGAAATGGCGCGGCAGCCGCGGGGTCTATGTCTATTGTCGGGCTCAATCGGTTGTGTTGTGCCATGATTGTCGCCTGAGTAGTTACGCGTTCAGCAACACCGTATTTTTCTCTGAGTACTAGCGAGCATCTCCGGTTTCGCCAGAACCTCCGTGTTCTAATTGTAGGTCCCGCGTCAGGCTAGCGTCGATTACCGTGCTGGGCGCGCAGGGGTCAATTATTGCGCGGACCAGGTGCAGGCGTCCACCAGACTCGATTCGAACGATGGCGGTCGGTGCAATCGGCTGAAAAGAGCGTAAGATCGGTGGAGCCATCGTACTGTTGTCTGTGCGACCGGTTCGAAACCCCAGATCGTCGAACGGCTAGAGCCGCATCCTGCTCTCGGTTCTGCTCTCGTGGTCGGCGATATGGTGCTTTCCCAACAGTCTTACGTCGAGACAAGCGGAAAGGACCAGTTCCCGCGCCATCACGACTCTTACCGTTGGGATATGGGGGCGGTCGGAAAAAACTAGTTTCCGAGCCACCCGGATGCTGTGATTGGGACTGGGCAGGCTGTCTGAAGGACAAAGTTGCAGACTGCTCTCCCTTCGCTTCTCATGTTCGAGTGGTGGTCGGAAAGAACGGGTTTCCGAGCCGCCCTTACTTCCACAGGAGCGACCTCAGTCGTAGCTTCTTCCATCTCTGCCTCCTCGACCTGCTGAGCCCATGACTTATAAGGTTCTTCTATGTGGATAGATAAGGCACCCTGGGAACTGTTGTCATCATCCTCTATATTGCGTGCTGGCTGCCAGTAGCGGTGTATGAGGATCGCTCGCAGTCGTTCTTCTGCCGTCTTACCACGGTAGATGGGGCAAAGTCTTATGCCGTGGTCTTTGTCGCACAAGCGACAGGCGATTGGAAACTCCTCCGAGCTCCTCTCAGTTTTAGAGCGCAGGGTTGAGAATCGGGTCATTCTGCAATTTGTAGTATTTGGTTGACCAAAATTCTGCTTTGCTTTGAATTTATTATGAGTTGGGTGGCAAGTGGTGGGTATTCGTGCATTTGCTATCGTACATATGTATAGAAATTTTACATAAAATATTTACATGCGTCTAACTCCAGCCTTATAAATTCCCTATGTAGTCCCTGGTGTGGCCGTAGCATTACTGTACTGCTATTCAGGATTTTTCTAGATGGCGCTCGTGATATTGAGCGACGTCCCAGTGTTATATTTACGCGCTTGTGCCTTTGGAATTTAAGGTGCTCGCGCGCATGAAAAAAAAATAATGAGAAATATATGTATATGTATGGAGAGGCATGAATATTATCTTATTTCGTGAGTTTTCATTTCTAATTCTTTATTTGTTTTATATCGATGCATAAAACGTAATCATTTTAAACTTCATAATTTATTCGGGGCTAATTCAATGCCACGCAGTGTATAATCAATTCGTGACTAATTCAATGCCACGCAGTGTATACTGACAGAATAAATCGCCAATATCGTAGAAAATGGTTGAAAACATTATTGTGGGGTTTTGTTATTAAGCACCATAGCCTCCTACCCAAAAGAAAAAAAATCCCATTATTTTTCATAATGGTGCGAAACTTGACTAAACCGATCCATAACGAATTCAGTGTTGCCACAAAGTTTTTAATTTTTTACCAAATCTCAAACAAAAAAAATACCAAGCTCAGAAAAAAAATTACCAAATTTTTATGAGAATAACATTCGTAAAACTTAGGTAATTATTTTGGCAGCGACGGAACTACACCACGTCTGGAATTGTGGCCCGCTTAGATCTATTCATTTTTTTTTTGAGTGAAATTTTTTGTTTTAAACAATTGTAAAAAGCTTCAAAGTTATAAATTTTTATAATTAAAATGCAAAGCGGCAACGCTGAAAGAATTGTGTTTAGTTAAATGGTCTCGTTCCAACCTCATGCCCGGTAGAGGGCTGCGTGCTGTCGTCAAAGAGCGTAA